AAAAGTACAATATATAAATATGTATATAGACAAAAGAACAATATATACATATATATATACATATAGATAGATTGATAGATAGATACATAAATAGATAGATAGATAGATTTACATATATATATATGTATATATATATATATATATACACGTACATATATATATGTACATACATATATACTTATATACATATACATATATACATATGTATTTATTCATATATATATATATACATATATATATAGATAGATTTGTATATATATCATCATCATCATTTGTGGGGCTAACGCCGGTAGGGGCGCATAGCCGCGTCCAGCCTTCGCTTCCACCTGCGAGGGTCTCTCATGGCGAGCCGCCAGGCCCATCTCTACTTCCTCACGACAGGTTTGATCGATCTGCCCAAGCCACGACCTTCTCGGTCGTCCCACAGGCCTCCTCCACCCAGGGTTGTCTCGGACAGAGACAACCTGATGGGCAGGAGTGGTCATATAGCCTGAGTTGGCGATCACGGATTATGCAAGTAACAGGTCCTGTACCGGTCTCACGGTGTAGCTGTTGGTTGGACACATGGTCCCGCCAACTGTACCCCATGATCCGGCACAAGGATCTGTTACAAAAGGCATCGAGATGAGATTCCAAAGCACAAGATAGCGTCCAAGTTTCACTACCATATAGTAAAACTGGCAGTATCAGGGCCTTGAAAACTTGTAGCTTGGTCCTTCTGCACAGGTACCGGCATCTCCAAATACTCTTGTCGAGAGATTTCATGACCCCTGCTGCCAGGCCAATCCGTCTACTGACTTCCTGGTCTGACAGCCCAGAGTCATGAACTGCACTACCGAGGTATATAAAACTCCTTATGACTTCGATGTTTTCACCGCAAGCACGTACCGACTGTACAGGGTCTCCTAGTAGGTCCCAAAATCCTGGATCTTGGTTTTGGTCCAGGAGACCTCTAGCCCCACGGGCTTCACTTCATTGCTAAATGCATCAAGAGCCGCCACTAGGGTTTCCAGAGATTCAGAAAGAATAGCAACATCATCAGCAAAGTCAAGGTCAGTAACCTTGATATTGCCCAGAGTTGCTCCACAGTGACTTTGGACCGTAGCTCTACCCAGTATCCAATCCATGCAAGTGTTGAAAAGTGTTGGTGCAAGAACACAGCCTTGCCTCACGCCTGAACTAACAGGAAAGAAGCTCGACAGGCCCCCACTACACTTTACAGAACTTTCAGTGTCTGTATGCTGGTTTGCTATTAGCCCAACAATCCTTGTTGGAATTCCTCTCAGTCTCAGGATCTCCCAGAGTGATTCGCAATGCATCGTATCAAACGCCTTCTTGAAGTCGATATAGGCTCAATCGACAATCAATAAGATGTGGGCGAGTACCTTGCCTGGTACACTGAGCAGTTTAATGCCTCGGTGATTACTGCAATCCCACCGATCCCCTTTCCCCTTCCATAGAGGGATGACCACACCCCTCAACAGGTCAGGGGGAATGGTACTGGTCTGCCAGATGGCAGACAAGACTGCATGCAAGCCCCTTGCCATAGGTTCTCCACCAGCCTTTAACAGTTCAGCTGGGATGCCACAACCACCTGCTGCTTTACCACTCTTCAGTTTGGAGATCGCCCCCTTGACTTCAGTCAGGGTGGGTGGATCCTCGCTGATGGGTGGGTCTGGCAGAGGAGTCTCAACATTACCAGCATCCAAGTTAACTGTTGGTGGATCAACCTGATACAGCTGCTCAAAATACTCAGCCCAACGCACACGCATCCCATTAGGATCTGAGATTATCTGGCCACTGACTGAGCGGTCTGCCGTCGTCTGTGAGGAGGGCTTGGAGTTCAGCTTTCTCAGAGCTTGGTAGGCAGGACGAAGGTCATTTTCTAGGAAATGGCTTTCAACCTCCTCTGCAAGATTACTAATAAACTGTTCCTTATCCCTTCTGAACAGTGACCTAGTCCTGTGTGACCTAGTCCCGCATCGCTGTACCAAGTCCAGCGATGCGGGAAGGAACGCTGATACCAGGAGCCATAGATCCTCAATTTCTGGGACCTAGCAAAGTCACGGAAAAGGAGGCTATTCTCGCTGCCAGCATCAGCTCCTGAGCCATGGGGACCGACAGACATCTCGTAGCCAGCTCGATCACAGCCAGATACCGCATTGAAGTCGCCCAGAACAATACGAATATCTCGCCGAGGACAACTGTCTGCCACAGATGCAGGTTTGGCGTAAAACATCTCTTTCACCTCAAGTTTATATACATCCGTAGGAGCGTACACAGCAATAAGAGACATGAAGCCAAATGAAAGCTTCAGTCTCAATACCATTATACGCTCATCGACTGGAGTGACCTCTACTACCGAGGGCTGAAGTCGGCTGGAGATGGCTATGGCTACTCCCTGGAGATGGTGGCCATCGCTGCGGCCCGACCAGTAGTAAGTGTAGCCATCCACACTAATCGTGCTGCTGCCAGGTCTTCTCACCTCCGAGAGAGCAAC